TATTAAGTTAGAGTAGTAATTAAGGAAAACAATTGTGATCCAAGCTTTTGTTGATTGTTTAAAAGAAACATGGAATGAATTAAATAATCTAACGCTTGTTCGATTGTTATTCATCTTTAACTACTTCCTAATTTGTAATGCTATTAGTAAATTCATAAGGATTGTGTAATACCAAGTGGTTTATTGATAAGAATTAATTTGTGTGCTGGGCTCAAATTAATGAACTTAAGGAAGATAAAGATTGTTTGGCTTCTTGATAATTTTTGGTTAAATATTCAATTAAAGAATAATATATATTAGAAGTTAATGATCATTTTGCAATCGTGGGTAATTTTCCCTAATCCCAATTTTAATAACTTAAATCTTCTCTCCCAAATCTCAATCTTAATAACCTAAATCTTCTCTGCCAAATTAATTCATACCCAAAACCCAAATTACCCATCCCGAATTTGAGAGTTTGAACCGCCGGCTACAACATCCATCGTTGTCGTCGCATTTGTCTCCGTCGCTGACCAGTGAGAGTTACTTTTGAGTGGTAAGAGCTTACTCACTCAATGGTCTCTCTTACTTGTTTGCTGCTATTGGGAGAAGTGGAAAATTGTGACCTGCCATTTCAATAATACATTACTTAAATGCCAATCCAATGTGAAAATGTTTTAAGATTCATTTACAAGCTAGAGTTTGATTTATTCCAAAGACAGCTCACAATAAATTAGAGTGTAAAGTAGCACAAACAAGAATATCTCAAAATTATAGGTTCACTCTACAACTTAAACTCTAATATAGAGAGGGGGGAAAAAACTTAGCATTTAAACGATAACAAAATCTAATGAGCTGCTTCTATTTAATTGCAAACCAACCGCAATGAATGACTATAAACAAAGTCAACAGACCTATCACAAGATAAAATTTCCCATTATGCACAAACGAACATATATATACTTTAAACAAAAATAGCAACAGTTTAGCTAATTTTAGAAGCCATAAACATCTCTTGGAGTAAATAATATCAAAGCCGAAAATTGTCGATCCTAGCAGTCAGTTATTCATCTCTCATTATAAGTGATTACCATCTTATTAGAGAATTGTGCAGAATTGGCATCACCTAGCTTAGGCCTCAATGGAAGAAGGTAAAACTTCTTGCATCCAAAAAGCAATGTGGTGTATAACAAGTAGATTGAGAATAACCAATGATGCTCCAATCAGCTCACGTTTATGAAAGTTAATCATAATTGATCAGCCGCATCCTCTAACCTTCATCTAAAGGAGAAGGCATAACAGAGTAGATTGCATTAAGAAAAATTCAAAAAACCCTTTAAAGTTAATCTTTAAATTGATCCAGGGTGGAATCCAATAATTGATGTGATTATGAAAGTAGCACTCCAACAAAAGTCACAAACATGAGTAGATTGCATTAAGAAAAATTCAAAAAATAAAACCACATACGGTTTTTTTTAACAAAAAGGACTATCTTTAAAATTTTTCTCACATAATCTTAGGAGAGAATACATGATTAAAGATATAGAAAAGGGAAATGAGCTATTAGGCAACAAAACGATAATAAATATAGGCAACCATTGGTACTGCAGTTATACATAACCATCCACCAAAATCCTGCATAAAAAGACAAAGACGGATGTAAGCAAAAGCATCCATGGCAGAAAGTTTTACCTGGGATTTTGATGAAGATTGTTGCATGACGTTCTTAGTAGAGGTGGAACAAATGAGCCTGACCTAACCCGTATTAAGACAGGTTTAATTCGGACTGCCTAAAAGATGGGTTAGGTTGAACCCGACCCGCATATACCCCGTCAAGCAAGTTGGGTTTTAATATGTCAATCCGACGAGTTAAATTTAAAAAAAAAAAAAAATTAAATAATAATTTTTTTTTTTTTGCAATGTCATGCTTAGCTGCTTCAACAAAGTTCAATTGGGTTGCGAAGCTGATACACAGATGGGTTAGAAATAATATCCATTTTCCTCTTTAAAAAGCAGTGATAATGTATATGTATACTGCATATACATTGCCACCGATGATTTCATGTAAATTATGTACCATTTCAAGAAAATTAATCTTAGATTATTAAGGTGCGAAGGAGAAACTGAAATGGAGTGTTAGGTATAAGATTGATTGCTTTAGGGATAGCCGAGGGTTTACTATATGTTCATGAGGGTTGTCAGAGGAGAATCATTCACATCGATATCAAGGCTGCCAATATTTTGCTGACTGAAGATTTTGTACCTCAGGTGCACAATATATCTGCTTTGAGCTCTCTGATTTAGCAAATTTTTTTTTTCCCCAAATTTCGTTTAATTAATGTTACTATTAGTGAAGCTTTAATGCGTTTTCTCACTAGTTAGAGCATGCAAAGCTAAAGAAAGTAAGTATTGGTTCCTTTTAATTCAGATTTGTGATTTTGGGTTTGCAAAATGGCTACCAGAGCAATGGACTGGCTACACAGTATCCAAAGTTGAAGGCACATTTGGGTTGGTAAAACTAACATTTACAACTGCAGTTATGCAGCAGCGATCTTACTTCATATTCATAAACGTACTCATTTGTTTCCGACAATTATTGCAGCTATCTTGCCCCTGACTTTTTGATGCATGGGATAGTAGATTAAAAAACTGATGTGTTTGCCTTTGGTGTATTGCTATTGGAACTAGTCACCGACGCCGAGCTCTGGATTACTCTCAACAAAGCGTTGTCTTGTTATTAGCAAATTGGATGATGGTTGTGAAGGATTCATATCTTTTTTGTTTTTTTTGTTTTTTTTGTTTTTTAGGCAAAACCTTTGTTTAGGAAGAATGAAGTTAAAGAGCTAGTTGAATTATTGCACTCTTTTTCCTTACCAAGTTTTTGTTCCATTGGGTTTTTTTTGGTAAAGTTTTTAACGAGGCAATAATTATTATAATTTCTTATTTTATTTTTTGATAAATGAATAAATCTAATTTTTCTTATATTACAATTTCATTGTATTAAAACTGAATTAATATTTGAAATGTTAACAAAAAAAAATAATTTAATTTAATTATTGATATTTAAAAAGTTAACTAAAAAGAAAAAAATTAAAAAACAAAAAAATTAAAAAAATTATGGGCTAACCCGGCCTAGCCCGCATCAAAACCGACTGGGTTAGGGTTGGCGGGCCAGGCTGGGCCAACCTTTTTGGCCATGATGCGAGCCTAACCTGACCCACGAATTCCTATAACTCGCCATGGGCCGAGCCGAGCGAGTTATTTTTCCACCTTTAATTCTTAGAACCCTTTGCACTAGCATGATGGGCATCCAGACCAACAAGAATGTTATCCAAAGACCCTAATACAAAGGATGAAAGTGCTTTAGGCGATCGAGATGAGCAATGGCCAATGATTGGTGGGTGATCTTTGGTGGGGATGATAGGAGTTTTGGTCAAGGGAGGTTGGTGAAGTGAAAGGTAGTGTCGGGGTAAATTTTCAATGCCGTAATTGATCAGAATTTGGTTTGAATCGCACGAACACTAGATGAGCGGCGACCGACGATTGGTGGGTGATCTTAGGTAGGAATGGTAGGGATTTTCCTTAGAGGAGGTCAGTGAAGTGAAAAGTGATGCTGGGGTTGATTTTCGGTGCCGGAGAGGACTGAAATTGCCTTGAATAGCATGAACCCTAGATGAGTGGTGACGGATGATTTAAGGGAGAAAAGGATTAGAGAGGCAAAGTTTTGGGAGCCAAAATTTCATTTCATTGAATTTTTTTTTGTTTTTTTAATCATCTGACGTGACAAGACAAGTAGTTCGTATTGTCACGTCAGATGCCAGATCACGTTGTATACTGGTTAATAAAAACCAGTAATAAGCATAGCATTTCTGTATGACTAGACACATTTTCAACCCTATGTCCTAACTACCATATATTTTATCCCGCCATGTTCGTGGGCCATGGCGTGGCCCGTCCCATCAGCTTGCCTCCGTTTGAAACAAATTACTTTTTAATGGTCAACGCCATCGAAATGTTGAATTATCACACTACCGGGGCCAAGGTGCGTGCCAAACTTACCACCTAAGTGAGGTGTTTCCTTTCTTTTTTATTTATTTATTTTTATTTTTAGTAATAATCTCCTTGATCAATTCACCTATCTTCAAATGGATGTACAAATCTGAAATCTATGAACCTGAACTCGAAAGTAAAGTCAAATATCCACGTTCAATTTCAATTTAGTTCTGTAAAGAGATGAGAATCCAACGGATAGCTAAAGAAGTGGAGACAAAAGGTACTTGTTTTTCTTTACATAAACAAATTTCATGCCTCGTTGTGGTAGTTGGCAGCCAGTTGGCCGATAGTGCAATCCACTCGTATATGCATCATTTTTTCCTTTGATGAGTATACATGCATTAACAAGGATGAGTCGGTACAAACACAAGACAATAGGCAACGTTAAAACAATTGCAAATTATATACAGGTTTCAACTCACATCGATGAAATGACAAATTCTGTATTGACTTGGTAAAATGAGGAAAACCAAATGTAAAGTAATTCCAATAATGCACATCTTGCTATTATCACTTCTGAGAAGATGGATGGGTGTGGGCCAGTCTAGTAATGATATGATCCACTCCTACCTCAGATTGCCATTTAAAAAATGGCTATGTAGAATTCCAACACAGGACCAATTACAGCTTTGCCATAGTAGCATCTTTAGATATGGGTCCCATACCCTCTCAGCATCAAAAGCGAGTGTCTTCAACGGCGGTCCTTTAAATAAAGCAAAAAATTAATTGATGAACAAAGATTGAAATTTGAAGTGAAATTTACTTCTGTTTCTTTCCAGGAATCGAAACTACTCGCCGCACAAAAACAGATCAAGAATTTCTGGAAAGATCTACAACATCAAATACGCCTAGTATTGAAAAGCTGGGCCGCACGCTTAAAACTTATGGAGCCCACAGTACCACGTGCACTAACAGTCAAATCGCTCTTAGATTCTCAGCATTCAACGCAAAACCCAACAAATAACAAATTAAAATAATAGAACGCGTATTACCCGATAATAATATCTCAAAAATAAAACACTAACCAAAACAAAAAGCTGCAAAATACATCGACCAACCCACTGTCCTCCCTCACACTGTCACACATCCACTGCTGCTAAAATGCGCCCCGTCTCATTCCATAAATTAAAAATCCCAAATAAATTAAAAATAAACCTCTCCAATCCCTAATAACAACAGTAAAAAATTAAAAAAAAATTGAAATTAAACAGATCTGAGTAATTACGATTCAGGACAAAAGAGCCGAACAAATAACAGTAACCAGTGCCGCCAATAAAGCAGGTGCGTTCACGTGAACAGCAGCATTGTCGGCGGTACTATTCTCCGACCCGGCTGGACCATCGGATGGACCATCAGCTGGAGCTTCCGCTGGCGTCCCAGTAGGAGGAGCTGGCGGTGATGCAGCCAACGGTGACGGCGCCTCAACGGAGGCTGGAGCAGGTGTAGGAGACGCTATGGTTGGAGCCGGAGACGGAGATGTCACTGGCTCACCTGCTGGAGCTGGAGACGGTGCCTTTCCAAATAACTCAGTTGGCAAAAGCACATTATCCACGGTGAAAATGGCCAACGGCGTTGAGTCAAGCACGGTGTCGGCAACTCTTGACGAGGCGACTCCAGTGTGGAGAGTGACCTCATCACCGGCCGTTGTAACCGTCAGATCAAACTTTCCTGGACCTCTAGTAGCCAATGTCGAGATCGGCTTCTTGGTAGTCTTCAAGGTCCCCACTGGATTGTAGCCAGAGGCTGCATGATACTCCAAGAGAGCAACCACGTCAGCATTACTGAGTTTACTTAGATCAGGAACACCTTCAGCCTTAAACGCCTCATCAGACGGTGCAAAAACAGTCAAGCCATCGGCAATAGCTGACTCGTAGGTCTTAACCACACCACTAGAAACAAGTAAGCTAGCAAAGGTCTTGCATCCAGCTTTCTCAAGCAAAGCCGTTATGTTAACGTCAGAAGCCGATGGGGCCGGAGCCGCCAAGATTCCCGGTACAATAATCGGAGAACTGATCTCAAGCACAGAGATATTATAAGGAATCTGTTTAACGGATTTGCTGTAAGATGAGTCGAGTTTTGAACCTGCAGCAGCCGCACCGAAACCGACTTTGCCACCTTGGAGATCAGTAATGTTGACAAAACCAGAATTGCCAGGGGCATTTCCGGTAGTCTGATAGAGTGTGGTAGTGAGGGTGGTTCCTTTAGAGATTTGGTGTAGCTTTTGGCCATCGTAGTAGTCGAGTAAAACGTGGAGTCTCAGCTCATTCTTGATGACAGAGAGAGGGTTTTTCCCTACAAGAGCTGACATAGCGCCATTATTGAGGGCAAGAACGGTGATTGTTGTACGGCTGTTGATTTCATCGGCGAGTTTTGTTTGGGTGAGATAGCTGTTGAACTGTGAGTATTCTGGGTGGTCCTTAAGAATGTCGGTGATGTTGTGGGCTGATATGGTAGTGGCTATTGCAGAGAAAATAAGAACGAGGAAGAGATTTCGTGTAGAGCTCATCGTGGATGTTATCAAACGGCGGAGATGTTTGAGACACTGATTAGTTAGTACAGAGTAAGAAGATGTGTTAGGGGCGTGTTAATAAGGGAAAGGGAATAGAAAGTTAACTAGAGTTAAGAAGTGAGTTAACTATGGTTAGTGGTTGAGTCTGTTGGGACTTGGGGCCATGTGGGAGGCAAGCATGCTTTTGGTCACAGCTGGAAATGTAGCAGCATAAAATGGATTTAGGTGGTTCTCTTCTTTTGGTTAAATGACAGAAATGGACTATGGGAGGTTAAATTTAGCCATAAGATTATGTAAGCATAGCGTTGTAACGGCTATAAACCAACCCCTTGTCGTGGTCCGTGGAACGTTGGACTTAATCCATAACGGCACTCTATCGAAAGGTCAATAATCTATGGGTGGTTAAATTTGGCCGTTAATTATATTAAGTTAAAGAGGCAAAAAGAAAGCGGGATCCAAATTTTCGAGATTTGTATCTGGTAATGAGATCTCGGTCCGGGTCTAGATAACAGTCTTTGAATTCGGGATTCTTGAAAACTAACTATTATTATTAATTTAGTCTTTAATAAAAACATATTTGACGTAACTTTCATATCCCAATCAAAATTTTAAACTTACCAGAGTGAATATTTCACTATAAAAATAAAGTAAAAAATTTGTTTACAAGGTTATATTGAAAAATCCATTATATATATACATTATTAATTATATAGAGAAAATATGGGTTATACACAGAATAGACCGTTTCATTCACCACTCATCCAGAAAAGCAAATTCATTGCCTTTTGGGGGCCTTGCTTTACACGGCTGTCGCAATGTTTTGCGAATTTTCTATGAAATTATTGTTGCAAATGTGCTTCTAATAAATTATAGCATGTATAGGCAATTAAGTCGATGGCCCGCCAATGCCATAATTAAAACTGGGAAATAAAAAATAAAAAGAAACGCAAGTTTTCGAGTAATAAAATACTGGACATTAGACTAACCAACTCCCGATTTGCCAATCTTCTGTGTCACAAAACTACAGAAAAAATAAGCTCTATACCTGCCCAACTCCCGATCTGCTGGTAACTATTCTTCTCAAAATTCTTCTCAGGCTCAACTATACAATTGGCTACCGGCCAATCCAACAGAAACAAACGATGTAATTTCAAGATCAAGATCTAGAGAAAAGAATATTTTAAATTCCTTCATTTGCAAGTTATAATTACCTTTTGACCAATCTTTGTGGGTTTAAAAGAGCAATCAGAATGGTAGCCGAGCAACATAAATATTAACTTGAGACAATCACTCTTTATCACGAGTAGAAAACAAAAGAAATGCCAATAAAACAGCATCTTTCCTTTTCATATATTCAGAGGGCTCTTTTAAAAGCCATAGGGTAGAGACGAAGTGACTTTAATTCCGTTTGTTTGTTTTGTTTATCTGGTTAGTCAATCTCTCAAGTTATTGTAATACACAAAAGAGATAATAAGCAGCTGTTAATTGTCATTAATGAAAATTCATAAACCTGAAGATGATATTTATTACCTATTAATTAAATATACAAGAATGTTTATCGTCACCTAAAAAGCTAATTCATTAGGTGAAGAGAATCTCGCTTATAAACCCAAAACCTCTTCAATGCGTTTTTCAATATGGGATTTGTGATATTTTCTTCAACCCAATCATGTGATACACTTGTCATAGGTGAAGCCATAAGGTTCGGCCCCCTACCAACTCCTCCATCTTAGGGGCGCTTGGAGGGACACTGAAAGACAGATGGGTCTCACAATCAAAAGGTTAAACTCATCAAGTGAAGGGACTCTCTTCTTATAAGCTCAAGACTTCTCCAGTGCGCTTTTGATATGGGACCCGTGATATTATGTACGTATATTTTATATGGTTCTCACACAAACTGAAATTGTCGGCACCATAGAAAATCTATAAGATTGTTTCCATTAGGATGCAAAGTGACTACGTGCCTCTCTCAACATCTGAATCCTATACATGGTCCACTATGATATGCCTCAAATATTGCCCATTCAAAGATTTTTCAGCGTAACAATTAATTGGGCCTTTGGCCCAATTACAAGAGTTAGCCCATTAATTTGGGCTTTATAAACCCAGTTAAACAAAACAGTCATTTCACTCTGAGAACCGAAGCCATTTGTCAAATCGACAATCACAAGTGGCGTCGATTAAAGCATGGTTATGAAGGTGGCCCACAAAATAGAAAATCCAGTTGACGTGTCATCTCACAGTCTCCATTAGTGCCAGACAAGCAGTCTGACATGGCGCGTGGAATAATACATCGCATCACAACACAGCACCTACTGGTCTATTAATTGGACAGTAAAATACACGCACCCTTAAAACCCGGCAGTTTTTGCATGTTAGATGAGAGAGTAGAACAGAAATTTTGCCTGCAGAACTGCAAAAGGCTGATACTGCCAGAAAATTTCTGACAATGCCTTTAATCTCTTACCTTTCTATTACAATATTTATGTTTATACACTGCTCACTCACCGTTGTAGCCATCAATGTTATTTGTTTGAAGTTGATTATCTGCTATGTTTGGGTTTTCAATTTACTTAAATAACAACACATGGTTATCAATTCAAACTTAATGCGTTCTTATGGTTTGTCTGTTGCTTTTGCTTCCATCACTCTTTACAAACAACGGTGGTCAGGTAACTACAAACTAACCGTACAGAGAGTGAATTTTAAGTTAAAATAATTTTGTTTGGTTACAATGGAGCCCCAACCGCTTCGGAGTATTTCTTCATCACACTTGGGTACTCTTCTTCTGCTTGTTCGTATCAAATCAACTGATTGTTTGTTTGTTTTTTCTTCTTGGTGTGATCTTCTTTGTCCTTTACATTTTGTTAACGATTCTTAGTAGTGATTTTCAATCTCTTATTCAGGAGAAGAAGGTGGTGGGGGTGGACCCCACAAGAGAGAGGAGGAAGGATCAGAGTCGATCAAGCAGCTTGCTGAAGAAAAGGAGTTGATGAAAGGTGGGAAGGCTGAGTTAACACCTGCTCAATTGATTGAGTTTCAACAACAAAGTCTCATCTTCAAGCACATGAAAGCTGGCCTTCATGTTCCTGTTCATCTTGTGATTCCCATTTGGAAGTCTGTTGCAAGCTCTTTTGGGTCCGATATCGGTGGTATATATAAACAATATCCTAGCTGTAAGTTTTTTTTTTTTTTTTCTTTTTTGGGTTTTTAAATTTGTTTTGAGTCTACCCATTTTTAATTGTTTGTATGGGTCTTTGAAGTGGGTTGAATTTAGCTAGTATATCTTTGTGTTTGACATATGTGCATGCGAACTATGTTGACCTTGGACTTGTGAAATATGTAATGAGTTTAGTACCTAGTTTATTTTATATGAGAAACTTTGTGGGTTCTCTGTTTTTTAGAATGTTTGATGGGATTGAAGTAGAAATTGTTTATGGGTTTGGTAAGACTCAATGATCTGCACGTCGGTTCAGTGAATTAGATTGGGATACCCTGAATTCTAAATTGGGGTTTGGCTGTATAGTTATTATTGTTTTCTGTTTGCAGACACAAATTTATCATACATGTTTCATTATATTAATTTCGCTCTGTTAATGTGAACTTCTGCGAAGAATTTGATACAACCTTCTAAATTTTTTTCCTATGTTTCAGTTGCAGGATTCAGTCCTCGGGATTTTGATTGTAGGAACATGATGGATCCAGAACCAGGGAGATGCAGAAGAACTGACGGGAAGAAATGGAGGTGTGGTAAGAATGTAATTCCAGATCAGAAGTACTGTGAGCGGCACATTCACAGAGGCCGCCAGCGTTCAAGAAAGCTTGTGGAAGCTTCTCAGGTTGCTTCTCTTTCAGTTACAACTTCAGCCAAAGATTCAGAGAATTTTAAGACCATGTCAATTCATTCTCAAAGTGATCCCCATCCCCAGTCACCTAGTGACCCTAAAATCTCTGTAACTGTTTCAACTGTTTTTCAACTCTCAACTCCTTCTAGCAGCACCGGTAATATCATCCTCACCAGCACTGATAGCAAAGATGACAATACAAATGATATTAAGTTTTCAGGGATTAGTAAGGGCAACGGTATGGTTAGAGGCAGTATAGATTCTGCTGTCACCATTGCAATTGCTGCCAAGGCAATTCCCGACACTACTATTTCCATCGCTAGTGATTCCCCAGTCACCATCTCCTCACCCACTGTTATGACCACCACCACTAATGATGGTGACAATGATGTTTGTGGTAGCAAAAACTCTGCGACCACCAACGTTGCCGCTGCCACTACTTCCAGCCCTGCAGCTGCAAGCAACCCCATCACTGAAGCCAGCAGCACTACCTTTGCCACAGCTACTACCTTCAACAACGAAAACAATCACAGTACAGGTTGGAAATGTGATGGCAACAACGCCACTAGTATCCAGAGAATGATCAACAAAAGCAGCAAAAGTGGATACTGCCACAACAGCAATTTAACTGCAGGATTGGGCTTCTCACCAAAAAGTGTTCTTCAAGGTAATATTGATTGACTGTCTGTGTTAGAGAACTTTACTGGTGGATGTGGTGGTTTATATATTCTGTTTTATCTGTCGAAGAATTCCGTTTTGCTAGGAGGGAAAATAGGAATAAAACGTTGACTTATAACTAGTTTGGTTGTTGATTCCAAATTTCTTTTCTTTCTTGTCTACTTTGTCAACAATTGGATCTTAAATTAATTTGTTCCATTTATCATTTGTTTGATTTCTTTCTGTGAATTGCAGAATTTTTGAAACTCATTTCCTCCATATATGTAAACTGAAGCTCATATTCTTGTTACCATTGATTTCAGTTGTAGGTTGCAGTGGCTCACACTTTTACAGAAGGGAGATAGGACATGAGCCAGGACGATGCAGAAGAACAGACGGAAAGAAATGGCGGTGCAGCAGGGATGTTGTTCCTGATCAAAAGTACTGTTCACGGCACATGCATAGAGGTGCAAAAAAACGTGTGGAAGCTTTCCAAGCTTTTGGAAATTTTAACCCTGTTACTTCTAGTGTTTGTCTGCCTCACAGAATGTCCATAACCAATGAAGCAGATTCTGCTACCCTTGACACCAATCTCTCTATATCAATAGCAGCAAATCCTCAACTTGTGAACAATGATGAGAAAAGCCTTACCGGCAGTAGTGATGCTACCATTAGTGACACTAACATCACAGGATGTGAAGACAGTAACATTTCTTCTTAGGTTGCTCTTTCTTGGCTTATTCTATCCTGTATCCTTGATTAGTTTTTAGGCGCCTTTTTCCTCGAGGGGAAACAGTTAATTGTGCTGTATAATGCGGAATTATAATCCTTGTAAAATCCTTATGTGTAGTTATACAGAAGCTAGTTGAGGAAATTGATAAAAGGAACTATTTTCATTGATTGTGTTGGATGCGGATCATCATGCCTCAGAAATAACCTGCAATGTGTTTGTTTTGGAGCAAACATATAAGCTTAGCCTTAGATTTCACATGATTCAAGCTTTACGGTAAACGAAAGCTTGGACTGTTAGTTTGTTGGATACTCGGATTTGAACAATGTTATGTTTATAATTGAGTTATATAAACAGACAAAAAATAAAGGATAGAATAATTATTTTACATGAATTTTATGTAATTTTTGTTTGGATGTATGACTCAGTTGTGAGCAGAAAGATTATTGTTTGGATTTTTGCTTTAATTGCTTTCAATTTACTGTTTGTAACATAAATTTGAGATATGAAATTTATATCATTAATTTAATGCAATTTAGTCTACTTAAAAAGAAATAAATAGATAATTATTTTTAAAGTCATGGTCATTTATAATTTGTCAATTATATTAAACAAAGATCAAAATTTTGTATACAATAGTTTAATCTGTGGGATCAGAGATTCAGAGTTCCAAATTAAAGAAGATTTCATAGGCTTGAATAGGGGACCAGTATGTTCGCACAAACTCGAGTTGCTAAAAATAGACACTAAACTGATATAAAATAAATAACGTTTGGAACTTGAAGGCCAGAGGTGTCGTGGTGTAGTTGGTTATCACGTCAGTCTAACACACTGAAGGTCTCCGGTTCGAGTCCGGGCGACGCCAATTTTTGTGCATGTTGTTTTTTCAGATGCAAATTTTGCCCTCAATAAGGACAATCTGACTTGCAGTTTAATTTTAAATTATTTAAAAAGGGTAGAAACACTTATTTGCTTCGCACCCATGGTTGCAGCTTGAAGTGAACTAAAGCAGGAAGATCAGGCAGTATGATACATGCAATATTCATGAATCTGAATGTTACATTTCCACATTGTAAAACCAAAGCAATTTGGCCTTTGTACAAATAATCAAAGATTATGACAGTATACAGAAGCTCTGCTAATACCAAGCATTACAAATTATAAGTTCAACATTACCTGGTAGAATGAGATTAAGACTTAAAAGATACAATAAAGGTAGAATGAGATTAGAACTTAAAAGATACTACAAATTGTCTACATTCTTGATTATCCAAGGGTGCTCCATAATCTTCTGAAGAGAGAGTCTCTTTGAGGAGTCCTTCACCAGAAGCTGCAAAAGTTTTCAGGAACGCAAATTAAGTCATTCAGAACCAAAATTGTTTCCAACTCCATATCGATGTGGTGAGAGTAGAGGACAAATTTACCCGGTTGATGAGATTTTTGGCTTCTGATGAGATACTAGGAGTGGAAGGAAAGATCAGGTCCACATTCACAATCCTGTATAACAACATATAATTTTATTGTATGATTAAAACCCGTTCACAGTATACATTAATCCAACATAAATTAAGCATACTAGGAACCTTCTATCACCTTTTGAATGTGTCATTTTGACTCTCAGCTTCAAATGGAGGGGCACCGTAGAGGAACTCATAGCAAAGAATACCCAATGTCCAGTTATCAACTGCATAATCATGAGCTTTGTTCTCCACCATTTCTGGTGCTAAATAATCCAATGTTCCACACATAGTGTTTCTCTTGCTTTTTGACTGTACTGACCATCCAAAGTCCGCAATTTTCAATCGACCCTACACATATAAACATATTTAAACAGAAATCTAAATCTGTGCAGAAATTCATTGATGAATGTGATGTAGTTGCAGGTTCAGCAAATTAACCAAATCATAACCATATGGGGCTGCTTATGTGAGTTAATTTTACAAACAAAATCATGGATAAGAACTGGACCACAGCACTGCATCTTGAGGTTTAGCAGCAGCCAAAGGACAAGGTTATAAACAGAAAAATAAACTACTATCACTTTAACAATCCTTAAACCATCAATAAGTTGAAGTGCTCAAACATGCAACATTAAGCAAAACTGAGGGTTAATCCATAATTATACACTTGCCAGACTGAAGTTTGATTAGGCATTGCTGCCATAATTAACACCCACACCTGCCCAACTGTAGTTTGACTAGAATTTACGACTTCTTATTTTCTGAAGTGTTAATATTGTTATCACAGGGTACAATATGGATTTGCTTGGAGTTTCGCTTACACATACTTCACCCCAAATGTTTCGTTTGTGATGTGCGATGTGAAAATTTTACTGTTAGATCACTAAAATAAAATCTGCATGCAATTTGAGGGAATACTTGTCAAACTTCTCTGTCTAAACCCTAACTAGAATCCTTTTAAAATCTGACTAATCAACAAATTGCCCAAATTTTGTTCTAGTCCCAACAAATATGTGCTGTTTCAAATTTGTTTAAAAAGCTGACAACATGTAGTGAAATTATATGAAAAGAAACAAAGCTTCCCAAAGTATACCTCATGATCCAGCAACAAGTTTTCTGGCTTAATATCCCTGTGAATCACATGCTTCTCATGACAGTACGCCAAGGCATGTGTGAGACTTGCAATGTACTGAAAATTTAAGAAGCATAAAAAAAAAGAGTGAAAAATCATAAAATTAAAAAGAAAATTAAAAAATTGTTCACAGAGAGAGGAGAGTAAAGTAAGTAATACCGTAGCAGCTTGCTTTTCAGTGAAATGACCTTTCTTCCTGAGCTCTCTATAAAGTTCACCGCCATAAGCATACTCAAGAATCATGAATATTCGCTCATCATCATGAAACCAACCGTAGAGGCGCAGTATATTAGGGTGAAGTAGATTCGTTTGAATTTCCATCTCTCTTCTCAATTGATGATGAATTCTGTACTTTTCTATCTGTTCTTTGAATATTATCTTCAATGCCACTATGTATTTGCTCTATACCCGAAATGATTTTCCAATCAAATTACAATGACAACGAAAATAGCTTGTACGGAAAAAGAAGGGAAAGAAAATTAGAGTAAATAACAAACCTTGACTTCTCGGGCCAGGTAAACTCTGCCGAATTTGCCTTTGCCCAGGGGCTTTCCGATCTCGAAGTCTTTCAAGGACCATTGTCTCCCAGGATTTTCTCCCGCTTCAGTTTCCGAATTCATTTTGGGAAGTTCTAGATTGACAATTCTGACATCCGGGGATTTGGGAGAGTTTTTCTTCACAAAATTACCACATTAACATCCTTTAGAGGAGAAAAGCTAACCCCTGCAAATTCAAACTTTAAAATGACCCAATGTTGAGCCGAAAGACCATATTACCCTATAAGGAAATATAAGCCACTCGCCTATATTCTCTAGTTTATATCATTGTTTTAAAAACCAGACCGGAGGGCAACCCGCTCTGATGGCCGGGTCACAGTTCAACCGGTTGGACCGGTGACGTCATCACACATCATGATGACGTCAGCACATTTTAAAAAAAACTTAATAAAGGATATGTTATTGTTATTATAAGGGTGTCTTTGGTGTTAACTTAAATGTAAAGGAATTATAAGCTATTCTGCACAATCTTAGATAGGACCAGATGTTCAACTAAGCTACTGATAGCCATAAAGTAACATACATGTAAAAATTTGTAGCTACAGTTGATAACCGGTAGTTCTTGAAAGTAACATATTGCATTACTATATTAACTCTAACTAGTAAGATACTAAAATAAGTAATTAATGAAAACTAGAAATGAAGAACAGAGAACAAGATAAATAAATTAAAAAAAAATTGATAGAATTTTCTGCAGATTACTTCATTCCGCAAAACTGGTTATCTCGTTGAAGACCAACAGCACACCAGGAAGTCACTCAATTAACCTGATATCAAGGAAACATCAAAAGAAACCACTTCTTAATGTTTTTATGCCAAAAAAGAGAGGAACCTGATGCCATGTGATAATACCTATGATAAATAGCAGGGTAAAAAATTCAACATGAGCTATAATCAAGACAGTCGTCACTGTGTATTTGGAGATGAGAGAGGTAAGAGTGAAATCAAAGTGTGTTCTAAGAATTGGAATATAGTCAATGCCAAATTAGACAACAATGAAGCAGCATAGAGGAGTCATCTACAGTTTTATAATAAAAAAAGGAAACAACCATGAAGGAGTAAATAAATATAAGTCATCCTGTAATAAAGATAAGGGTGAAAAAAAATGTCGACAAGAGTACCGTAATTTTCAAGGCAGTAGTTATCAGCAGGTCTGACTACCATAGTTAAGTCATTAAGCTCTCACCTCTCAATCACCAAGCCTTAGACATACATAACTTAATGACCACCAATATTTGAGAATTAGGGCTCCTTTGTATGCTCTAAACAAAGAAATTCAATGGGACAACTACATTATACATGCATTTCTCCAAACATCAGTTAAGGGTGATTACAGAGATGCAACAAAAAGATAAAATTTAGATATTAATTGTCAAAGTAGAGTTACAGCTATTTAAAACATCCCTACACATATAACGCAAATTTGTATCTACGATTACAGTCAAAAGTTCCATATCCAGCTACAGTCAAGCCTACACAGAATACTACGATTACAGTCAAAAGTTTTTTGAAGAACAAATGACTAAAGCCATGGAGCATTGATTATTGCTCCAGATAAAGTTTGCAACGAAATCATTATTGATTATTGAAGCTGGATCGAGGAATGGCGTGTTTATTACCTGGATCGAGAAATGGAGCTATCGTCAACGAATGGAGCTGTCGCCATCGATTTTCAGCGAGGAACGGAGCTGTTGTCGTCGATTTCCGGTGAGGGAGGAAAACGTCGTCGATTTCCGACGAGGGAGGAAGACGTTGTCGTTTATTTCAGAGAGTTCAGATGCGATTTGGGTGGGATTTCACTTTCAGAGAGAAATTTTCGTAGAGAACAAAGAAGAAGGTGAGAAATTTTTGCAAAGAACATACAACAGAGACGAAGCTGATAAATTTTCACAGAGAATAGAGAAGAAGTTGAGAAATTTTCATAAGAAACTGAGAAAGACTGAAAGAGAAGAAGATGAGAAAGGGCTGCGTCGCGTATTAGGGATTTTTTAAATTTGGATCGGTTTATCCACCGATCCGGTTGGACCGACGGTTCACTGAAATCATCCAGTTTTCAAACGGTTTAAAGCAGCTCAGTGTATTATAACGGTTTTGGGGTTGACTCGAACCGGACATGTGACCGGTTCCCGATCCAACCGTTTGGACCGGCCGGTCCAATTTTTAAAAGAGTGATTAAAATGGGAATTATGCAGTCCCACATTTCCGTAGAAGGGCTTCAACAGCAAGAGGGAAATCTAACTTGACAAAATTGCTTGAGCCAAAATAATCGGAATAAAAGGAGACTGTTGCTTATGTTCCTCTATGATTGAGGAAAAATATAACAATAACCCAAAAAAAAACCACTAAATTGCTCAATAATAATTCATGCTACAAAATTTCCTGAATAAATTTCATATGCAAGTGATCTATAAATTATGGGCATGAAAAAAAATCTCATGCCCTCTTATATCTACTTCACCCTTTGACTTAAAATAAAATTGCATTGGCTAAGGCAAAATTACAGCATAAAAAGTTAACATTGCAATGGTGTCAAAAGAATTACATAGAATCTTCCTTCTGCTTTTTTGATGCATGCTCATTAGGATCATTTTTCCTTTTTCCTTCACGACGCTCTCTCTTTACTCCTTTTGATTTGTTTGGTAATGCCATATCTCCAAGCTGAAAGCAGCAAAACCATTAATGAGTGAAGATTGATAATAATACATAAGATAAATACATGATAAAAATAAAGCAATCACACAAACAAAAAATGGATGACAGGAACCAAACGAAAGACTTAAGAGAGGAATAAGGCACAATTAGACATGGCTAATCATGAATCTCAATTACAAAAAATGAGGCTACGTACCCAGCAATAAAACCCTATGTTCAAC